TAGGAAAAAGATTTCCTGTAAAAAAAACGCACGAAATCAGCGTTTTCGTTGCTTTAACGGCTCTGCAGACTTGGGGGACATGAAAAATGTTGGAGATGACCAGGCTGACCAAGATTGCCAAGATGGTTCCGTCAAATAACTGTTCTAAATTCCCGGCACAATGTACCAGCACCAGCACCACTACCGCTGCTATTGTGACTGTTACTGCTACCGCTGTTGCTACAATGACGACAACCACGACGACTTACGACGACGACAACGACGATTGGTATAAGTAGTTTACTATTTCTGTACCTACTGTTTGATTCCTACTAATATGGGGGCCTTACGTAGTATAAATAGGGTTCTGTGGCATATCCTACAATACTTCTAACTATAATGAGGAACCCTACAAGAATAACCATTGATTATATGAAGGGCCTGAAAAATCAGCAATACTATTATTCTGGAGGGCTCCTTATTATAATGATGATGATATAAAATACCCCCAAAAACCTATCCTAGTTGTGAAGGCCCCTATGTTAGTCTCAAAAAGACGCGCTTCAGACCGGAAAACACTCGAAGGCCCCCGACGCCTGCGTCTCCGCTGCGAACTCCACAGCCTGGCGGACGTCGCCCACCTCCTCCAGAAGAATCCTGGCTTGTGTGGGTTTAGGGTTTAGGTTGGCTTCTGTGGGTTTAGGGCTAAGGGTGGCTTCTTGGGTTTAGGGCTTAGGGTGGCTTCTTGGGTTTAGGGTCCTTTTCAGCATGGGCTTGGATTGTGTGCCAGCGCACACACCTCAACAGCAGGGCCCTCTCGTTTAACGGGTTTATAAGGTCCTAAACCCTAAACCCTGAACCCTAAACCCTAAGTCCTAAACCCTACATCTGGCTTGGCTTGGGGTTTATAATGGTTTAGGGTCAAGGAGGCGTCAGATTGAGGGTTTCCTGGAGCTTCTTACGGGTTTGGGGAGTTTTCTTCCGTTCTGTGTGTCTGGAGATTAAAGCCACCATTAGGCTTGAGTGTACTCTTTGGGAGGGTTCCTTTTTTTTTGAACTTAGGCCCCGTATTCGGATGTTGCAGGGCATCATTTTCGGGCGTAGAGCCTGTGAGGCTTTAGGGCCGAATGCTCTTGGGGTTTCGGCCCAAGGCTGTTCAAGCTTTAGAGGCTGTAGGGTTGAAAACCTGATGATTTTGGAGTGTCAGCTTGGGGGTTTAAGCTACTAGGTTACTAGGGCTTCGGGCTTACAGGGCGCAGCGTTTCAGTGTGTATTTACAAAAAAAATCCTCGGGAGTGGCTCTGCATGGTTTCGGGGTCCCGAGGAGTTTTTTGACAAAAAGGCCCAACTAGGTGAGCGATAACCTCGCTCCGCATGTCGGACCATCAGGAAGAATATCAAACAAGACATGGTGGCGGCTCTCTTTGCAGAAACTGCGCGGTCAGGCTGTTGTTGGGTTTGGAGCTCGCAAGAGAGTGTTTAGGCCGAAAGCATCCGAAAGCCCTTAACCCTTAACCTTTTTGCATTTTTGCTTCGCCGCTCGGTCTGGGGTTAACCTAAACTCTAAAGCTTCAGCAGACTCTGGTAAGGCTTGTGGCAGAGGTTGCGCTCAGTGTCAGGGCGAAGGTTAAAGCTGTGGCCACTTCGCCAAGATACAAGTTTTTGGATTAGCCCACAAAACGACCCAAAGTAACATCCCAAATAGGCGTGTCGATTGAAAATGTGACGCGCCTGAGCGCGTCGGCCACGCGCCCAGCACGCCCAAGAAGGTATGCAACTTCCTGACCTCAGCAATGTATCGGGAGGAATGGAGGGGGCCTAAGAATTCGAACACGGATTTGGGGGGGGGTATTATACCACAATCATATAAGCGTCAGGACCCTATAAGGGACACTCGAAGTCATAAAGATTAGTCTGTCCGCTGTATTTCTACTCCTGCTGAATCGTCAGCTTCACTTCATGCGATGGCGTCTGACTGCATGGCCGTTGAGGCTCCAGCTTCAATGCACCGCGTCGGCTTGGCTTATAGGGTGTTTAGGGTTTAGGGTAGAGGTGAAGTTGAAGGATAACCAATACCACACGATGAACTCTGTAAGCGATGATATCCCATGCATGGTGGGAGGATTTACTGCATGCGAATCTGGGACACCAGACAAATTCTCAAACAGCTAATTACTCCTTCAGACTAGCTGGCTAGATTGCTTAAAGGGTCTCGCTCACGAAAGCTCCGGCCTGGTTCTAGCTGCGACCTCGTCTACCTACAAACGAACCCATGAAAGCGCCGAACTCTGATCCCCACTGCGCACCCGACTCTGCGCATGCTAGCGAGGGCAAGAACAAACAGACCTACAACTGACACTTCCTCTCTGGGGGCATGGCGTAAGCCTTTCCGCTGGCACACCTCCAGAGCCTGTCGGTGCAATTCAAACATGTCGAACAGGAAAAACAACCTTTTTGCATACCTACGCACCGTGTAAGAGCACCTTCCGACAACTACACTTTAACTGCAAGAAATTGGCCCGGAGACCCTGAGCTGACCGCACAAGTCTGTGAAACTCCGGGACGGCGGTCACTCAACGACTCTACAAGCTTCCTTAGCTGTAGCTTCCTTGCTTGGAAGAATCGCAAACCTCCGGGAAGAACTTGGAGAGATCCGACACCCTTTTTTGCAACTGGCCTTCAGAACGCCCTAAACCCTTAGAGGCACTACTTGGCTTGAGAAGTGCTTGCTTCTTCCCCTCAAAAACGATGCCAACTCCCGAATTCTGAGGCTCTTGCACCCCAAACTTCCCTCAACCCTACAACCTTTTTTGATCGACGGAGACTGTCACCCCAAACCCTAGACCCCAGCACCCTAAACCCTAAAACCCTAAACCCCTAAACCCTATAGAGCCTAAAGTCGTAAACCTAGATCCCAGCACCCTAAACCCTAAACCCTAGAACCCGAAAGCCCTAAACCCTCTCTCTACCCTAAAACCCAGAACCCTAAACCCCTAAACAGCAAACAGTTCATGGAGCCTGATCCAGGGGGTAGCGCTCGCTGGCCCGGAGGAACGGTTGCAAACCGGAAGGATCCTCGGCGTGTGCTTCCGTTTTTTTGAAGATTAGTGTAGGGCTTTGGGAAAAAGTATAGCTCGTATAATATAACTGTATATGTGCATATTTTCACATATATCTATACATGTTTATATATATATATATACATATATATATATCTCTCTCTCTCTCTCTCTCTCTCCCTCCCATGCATGAATACCTTGAAGGTAATTAGTCAAGGTCCTATATCATGGTTCGGGGTTAGGATCGAGAGCCGACGAGGTCGATCCAGGTGTGCAGCTTGTCTAGCCTACCACACTACAAGGGTTTGTGCATAAGCCATGCCACAAGCTGTGCTGGTATACGACACGATGCCTGACTCCTGGGGTCGGAATGACAGTGAATGACGGTTGAGAGCTTCAGGAATTTGGGCCGAGGCTTTCTCACGAAAGAACCGACTTGCAAGCCTGCCTGGGGCTGGATGGTCACAGCTCAAGGAGTACTCGGGGAGGCTTTAGAAGTGGACTTGGATGTGCCACGCACAGTTTGGCGCCAAGCGGCGTACTCGGCAAAAAGCTCCACCATCTGCAAATGGTAGCCTGCTGCGAGATGAACTTGCAGGGGCATACACACCATATGCCCTAGTGAAAACCGAAACACTACGACAAGGGCCGTGAGGAACCTTGGCCAGCAATCTCGTCCTGTGCGAACAACTGCTTCAGGTACCTTGCATCTTGCAAGTAGTGAGCCAGAGGCACAGCACTCGACACGCATGCTGCTATGCACATGCTTAGTATATGGCTGCAATTGAAAATAACTGGCCTTCCGGACATGATCTTCTGGCCCAGCTGCTCATGCTTCCAGCGAGTCTCACACTGCTCCAAGGTGGACATGACGTGGTCCACTGGCAAGGAGGCGCGGCAAGCCACGGCCAGCTCACAAGCCTGTTTGTCATCAACCTGCCATGGCCACAGAGCACTCCAGAGCCGGTCGCTCAGCAACACGAGTGGCGTTCATGAGAGATTGCCCGAGAACACTACACTGACCACGCAGAAGAAAGAGTTGCACACAAGCTGTGAATCTCAGCAGGACTATATGACATTGCTACTGGAGGTGCTTGCAGTCCAGCATTTGTACCTCCACCACTCTGAGGGCAGGTGGCCGCTGGCCTCGAAGAACTGCTGCAACTTTGGCAACAACCATTTCGCGGGGTCATGCCCGGCAGAGATCAGCCGACGCACCATCTTGAAAACCTGTCCAGGGTAAGGTAAGGCCAGGTAAGGGGAAGAACAACACAAGTTCAGAGGGCTTCTCAGCCACCAGATCTAAACCTCGTGGCTCTCTTGGCAGGTGGGGCTTTCGAATCGTGGGTGTCGTAAACCGCAGACGTACAGTACTCCTCCAAATTGGGAATTGGATGCCTTTGCAGGTCCTCAATGTCAGGCAGAGGACAGTAGATAGGAAGCTTACGTGAGTTTCAGCAAATGTAGAAGGCACCCTACTTTCTAAGAAGCTTCCCTAAAAGGAAACACTTAAACCTCAAACCACAGCTCTAAGAAGCTCCCCCAAAAAGGACTGGGCCGAAGGAACATGCCCTTAAAGCAAGCCTAAGCCCTTAAAGGACTCCGTAAAGGAACACTAAACCCGTAAAGGAATCCTCACAGGAACCCGAAACCCTCGAAGGAATCCTTAAAGGAACCCTAAATCCTTAAAGAAATCCTTATAAAGGAACCCTAAACCCTTAAAGGATTCCTTAAAGGAACCCTGAACCGCTAAGGGACTCCTTAAACAAACTCTGCAGTAAATCCTCAAAGGAACCCTAAACCCTCGAAGGAATCCTTAAAGGAGCCCTAAATCCTTAAAGGACTCCTTCCAGAAACCCTACAGTAAATCCTCAAAGGAACCCTTCAGTGAACCCTTAAAGGAACCTATGAGCGGAACCCTAAACCCTGAGAGGCCTCGGAGCTCCCGAGCTTCAAAAGCCTTTGTGGACAGCAGCTGTCATCTTGTCTCTTATCGCGTACTGTATAGTAGGTTTTAATATGATGTAACATAATGCAACATAATACATTATAGTATAATATAATATCGTATGGCACGGTATGATATATTCTAATACATATCAGAATACATAATGGTCGGTAGTGTTCCACTATATCAGATCGTCTCATATCATATCATATTGAATTATACAACACGGTATGGTTTTTAAATCTGAAAACCAAAAAAATTCTTACATCATATGACACTATGTGTAATATTATTTCTATACTCTGCATTGTATTGCTTATCATATTACAGACTATGTACATACTATACTACATATAATATTACATATTATAGCATGGTATTTACATGTTATACTGCATATATTAATCCGTCTTCTATGGGATATCATGTTGTTTCACAGTATATGATGGGTTCTTAAACTTTTCTTTGCGCGTTAGTCTATGTTATACTATAGTGTTCTTTATTTTGAATTTGTTATCTCAGATTACATTATATGATACTATATATTATATAACATGTATGATACTATACAGTTCAATTTATATTATACTACATACCAGATTGTATGACATATGAAAAACTATACTATACCATGTTATTATAACTACAGTTGCATCAACATTATACCTTCAGACAGCGGATTTTGCAGGGCATCATAGTCCTCCTGTCGGGCTGCAGGGTTTCCGGAGTTTCAGGGGAATCATAGCTTCTGATTTCCCTAAACCCTGAACCAATAAGGCTCATCGAAGTGAGCGGCTATGTCTACTTAGTCTACTTCTCCAGTATCCCAGACCAACTAAAGCTTACGTAACCCGTGGGTTTATATAGAACAGGGATTACTTCTAGCCCAAGAAGGCTACAGTCACTGTTTACCTATGCCCTAATGGCCTACTACCAAGTCGTCCAAGGCGCAGCTCCACAGCCAGGTCCGGGTCAGTGTTCTCCGACAGCCGCGCCAGAGCTTCTGCACGACAGCGGTCCTCCTCGTCTGAATGAACAAGAAGAGAAGCGGCTGAAAGAAAAGCACCTCACATTGAAGATGCGGACCATCTGTCAACATGTGCTGTCAATTTCTACAGTGCAGGCTTATGACCTACACTCGCACGGACAGAACGATTCCATCGGCTTTTTCCGTTGCTCTTCTGTGGAACGATGCATCTGCACACTGGAGGCTCGCATCATAGAGCCACCACAGCACGCTCCGAGCATCGTGCGATGCGAGAAATCCGAAACCTGATGAGGTACAGGTGGTCCTGCGAAAGCTCTGTCGAGCTCGTAAAGGAAGGAGCATCTTTGCGCAAGATCGCCTGGACGGGGGCATGGTCAAAGCCCCAATGATGCACGGCGATGTAGCTGGAACATGTGCACTGTAATAATAGGATAGCACGTCGTCAGACACATCGGATTGCCGGATGACGACAACGGGTACTTTACCAAGATGTCTTTGCACGCACTGAGCTGTCTGTGGCTGCAGGAAGCAGCCGTGAGGGTGCGTGTTTCAGCCAAATGCTGGCTTGCCACTGCCTCATAGACCCCGAACCCTCCAGGTACCTACTATATAGGGCCCTATATAGGACCTCTAGTACCCTATATAATAGGTATCTGGGGGGGTTAGGGGACTGCATGGCCGACAGCACCGGCAAAACAGGTAGCACCAGGACACATGCGCCAGCCGTGACTTTCAATGCTGTTTAGAGATCCTTGTGATATCAGCATTAAATGAAAACACCTTTAAAAGCAATTAGAGTTGGTAGAATCGAAGCTTCGAAGCATGTCAGCGAACCCATTCGTTGCCTGAAGCTCGCTGGTCGAGAAAATGTCGTTCGGCCAGTAAGCCAGCACCTGAAAACTTCAGGCTCTGGGCTGCAAGAAGGGCTGGGAGGTAGCGTTCGGCTTGTGCCCCCGGAGATTCAAGAGCTTCTTTAAAGTTGAGGGGTTAAGTCTGAAAGGTCAAATCTAAATCTCCAAAATTCAACACCCACGGCTCCAAAGCCGCAGGAGCAGCACGATTCTTGAATCCGAGGGGCTGCAACCAAGGCCGATGGGTAATGCACCAAACGCCGCAAAGCATCGTCGTAGACCTGATCAGGCTCTCGGAAATCCGTTGCCCTTACCCGGCCCATATCCTCAACCTGGATCGGCCTACTACACAAGCGCCGAGCAACTACAGGACCTCCAGGTGGGTCGTGTAACCTTGCCTACATTTACATTTCAGGCTTCTGGAATCCGGCGCTCAAGAACGAAACCCACTTAGTCCTCATGAACCTGACAGCGTCCGGGCCTCGTTAGGTAGCTGCTCCTTAGGAGGTACCGGAAGCTGCAACGCCAGGTGGGGCAATGCCTTTGGCATGGTGGCAGTTGGAGCGAGAACGGGCTAATTGAATCGGGGCTTCATGGTGATCTACCGCTTTAAAGTGCTGCAAGCCACTGCATCTGACAACGAAACGCTGTTTGGAGCTCTTCAAAACGAGGTCTAGGAACGTAGAGCTGTGGTTTGCCAATGCGAAGCTTGTGTTGCACTGCAGGTTGCGGATTTCCGAAAGAGAAAAATCTCATCCTCAGGGGTCCAGCTCCTTCTGCCCGAACTTGGACTCACAATCTCACCCCGGATGATTCCAGGAGTACCCAGGCCCTCTCCAGCAGCAAGTCTCACTCCGCAGGATCCCGGAGCCCTGCTGCGACATAAGCCGTTGCTCATGGTCCTCCCCCGCCTTTTGCACAGACTTGTACATGCCCGCCTGGTTCCCAGAGAAACCCCAAACCCTACCCCGAAGCGACTGCTGAGCCGACCTCAAAGCCTCCGAGCATGTTCGCCCTCAAGCCCCCCCCAGATTCAAAGGCACCCCCGCGCGGTCGAAAAGGACCAACGACTCCTTCGGATGGCGGCGGGGTTCCGATATCCGCTTCGTGCTAAAAACCCCGCATGTCTATGCGCATGTGTAAGTATGTACGTACGTAAGCATATGTAAGTATATGAAAATGTGTAAGTACATCAGTTTGCAAGTATCTTTGTAAGTATATGTATGTATGTGTGTAGGTGTGTGTGTGTGTGTGGGTGTGGGTGTGGTATATATATATATATATATATATATATATTATGTATATACATGTACACTTATACTTCTCGATGTATGTAGTTATCTATGTGCCTTGTCCGTCTCTGTAGTTTTGGTGGGTTCTACCTAACTAAGCAGTGGGATTCCCGAAAGAATCTGAGGTGAGCCGAGGAGCCTTATCGGACCTACGGTTACAGGGTTTCGGACTCGTGTTCATAGGGTCAAAGGGCTTGAAGGTTCAGGATTGTCATGAAGGCCGAGGTCTTCCCGAGGTGCATAAGGTTTATAGGATGCTGACGGCTTAGAGATTAAGCTGTATATGGTGTTATGGGTGGTTTGGATCACCGTGCAAACAGCCATCGCTTGTGGGAACGACTCCATGTGTGCGATGGGGTTCCTGCTTGGCCTAGCCTACCAGTGTTAAAGGCTTCAGCACATGAGAATTTGAGCTGCGGGGGTGAGTGTCGCTTTTCGGCACACTCTCTCTCGGGACTGGCCATGTGAAAGGCTTCAGGTGCTCCGCAGCAAAACATGCTGACTTAGAACTTCCACTGTTGAGGTGCGAACTCCACCGCGATAGTCCTTTAAAGGAACAGAACATGGCAGATTAGGACACGGCTTCCACCAGAAACGAGCAAGCATCAAGCATCCAACATACATTCGAAGCAGGAAGCACGACTATGCCGAAGGAAGATGCTCCTTATCCTCTGTATTGGGGCGCGGTTCACCAACATCCCAGAATACCTACCAGATCGACAAACATCAAACAAAAAAGGTCTCGCAGAGTCCTGCCAGGTAGGTGCTTCCAGATGTCCTCAGCGTTGTCCAAAGCTTTCTTTAGCGCTCAGGTTTTTAACTTCAAGGGGTACTGCAAGGGTTCCTGTAAGGGTACTGTAAGGACACTGCTAGGGTTCCTCTGAGGGCTGCTTGAAACGGTAATGTGCAAGCCCCAGACTTCCAAGGGCGATGAGATGTGCGGCACCTTCTGCATTCCAGACTGTAGGCCTGAACTCTACATATCCGCTTTGACTTCTGAACCCCCGCGACCTCAAAACGCCCCCTTCCAGAATTGAATTTGAGAATGCTCAAATCCAGAACTCTCTCTCGAAGGGCTTCAAGCCCCATCTCAAGCCCCTTGAAGGGGACTTGAACTAATTCAATTAATCTAGGCCCTAGGCCCCCTTCCCAAGATCAGAGGGACATACCTAGACCCGAAACCAACAAGCTCCTGAAGCCTAAACCTCAAGTTTAAATAATTCTGAGCTCCATCATGCTCTCTCTCTCTCTCTATATATATATCTCTCTCTCTCTCTCTCTCTCTCTGAGCACCATGACTATGCATGTTAATGAAACCATGCTCTTGCTATGGCTGGTTCTGACTATGACTGTGCTCATGACGAATTTTGAGGCAAATCCTCAGGATTCGCTGTCCAAGGCTCTAAAACGCTGCAAAGTTTGGCAAGCTCGCACAAAGTTCCCATCCTTGACGTCGGGCGTTAGACACCTTGCATTGGCTTCAGAAAGAACTCGGGTCTTCCATCTGTGGCGAGCGTGTGAGTCAGAAACCTAAAGCCCAAACTTCTTCAGCCCTAAACCTATAGTGCTCAAGCTGCAAAACCCCGAACTCTGCAGAGACACCAACAGCAAAACCTACAGATCATTGGGAGTTCCGTCGGTTCCTTGCCAGCCGAGACGAACTTTCCCTCAAGGTCTAGTAATATAGGGGCCTTAATCATCAGAATAATTTTTGGGCCCACTATTAAATTACAATTACAATAAGGAACCCCAAAATAGTATAGGTATTATTATAAGTATATTAGCCCATCTTGGGTGAGCCCTGAAACATTGCCGGGAGACTTTAGGCAGACGATGTGCCGCAGGCCCTGGATGCCCTCACCACCCCCATTGGCCAAACGGATCGCTTCGTCAAAGTTCCCCTCTTCAAGAAGCTGCACCGCCTCAGCTTGTTTTCTTAACTGCGAGTCTTTGAGTTTTCGAATTTTTTAAGGGTAGTCCTCGTACGACTAAGGGCATCAATGTGCAAAGCATCTCGGCCAAGCAGCATACTCCAGGAGGTCCCTGATCTGAAACCTCGAGGCCAGAGACCCTAAACCCAGCGGCATAAAAGACGTAGGGCGATGGCCAAAGCCCTAAAGCCAAAAGGCCACAGAAGCCACCCAAGCCCATCTAGACTAGATCTGCCTGAAAAGAACCTCTTTCAAACATGTCCCGAAACTTGACACTCCTAAAGCCTTAAACCCTCTCATAGCGTGATACTTCGGACGCCCAACCTTTCTTGAACTAAATATGTCTACTGCCAGTGGCTGGCAGGCTAAATGCTCTTGAAGGCTTGGGATTCAGTTGAGGCTAGGTTTGGGTACACATAGTTGCATAAGACCACGGCTGCCAGGCATTTGCCATTGGCATTGCGGGTGCTTTCAGCGTTTTGGGTTTAGGGGGGCCCCAGGGTTTAGGGGTCAACAGTATCAGGTTCGAAAGCACCCTCATACTCATATCGATTGTTCCCAGACAGAAGGCCCTATTTAGACTGTAAGCGACCACCTGCCAGCTCTGAGATTAGAGCCATACCTAGGGGCTCTGAGGTGTCTGATTTGGATATGGGGGGTATGGTCGACTGTAAGTTGTACAGGGAAAGGAAGAAAAGTACTTCCCCTGATTGAGCCCTGGGCGAGCACAAAGCCTACACCCGACAGTCCTGTATATACTCTTAGCAATCCAGCACAGAATCTGGTTCTCTAGCTGTCTCGGTAGGATTCAACCAAGCTGGAGCCTGCAGCCGTAGACTCCCTCAGCCTTAAACTGAAACCGCATAGCCCCTTGCAGGTGGGAAGCATCAGCAGGTCCCGCGGCCCTGCCGCGAGCATGGGAAGGTGCGGCGCGGCCGTCTGGAGAAAGAGGTGACTGTGGAAGGCCCCTGGCGGTGCTTGATTTTGCAGCTGTAGGGCTCAGGCTTTCCGTTAAGGGCTTCAGTGTTTAGGGGTTTAGAGTCTAGGAAAGCCGGAGTCTCATGCCAAGTACCTCGGATTTCGGGAAGGGAGAAGCTCTCCGACCCAGCTTCAAGCCGCACTGCCAGCAGCCAACAGCTCAACCTCTTCGCCCCAAGCCTCACCACGACCCCTGGAGCATCTTAAACCCAAAACAACCCCAAACCTCAACCTCGCGGCCCTAGCCTATTCCGTCCTCAACTCCGAGCTCCGAAATTCCAAAGGCCCGAAAAGCCCCCGAATATATTCTACTGATACTTGGACCATTTCCCTAAGATCCGAATCGCCGCTCCCTAAACCCTAAGCCCTCATTGTCCCTGGAACTATAGAAACCCCATTAAAGGAACCTTACAGAACCCCTCATAAAGGAGCCCTATAGAAGCCCGTAAAAGCCCTAAAGAGTCCTACCTCCCCGGTGGCCTCGGGAGAAGGGGATCTCCACGGCATGGAAGAGGCCTCCGGAGGGGCCCTGTAGCTTCAGGAAGGCCGACCTGGAGCTCAGGGCATTCAGGGCTCAAGTGGGGTTTAATATAGGGCCCTTAATAATTAGAATAGGGTTTTGGAAAGGGTTTCTTTAAAGGGTTCCTTTAAAGGGTTCCTTTAAGGGCTCTATAAGGGCTACTATAAGGGTTCAGGGTTTAGGGCTTTCGTCTCTCACTATCGCACAAGCAGGCAAGGGTTGAGGGTTGAGGGCTTGGGGCTCTAACTGCTAAGGTTTCGGGTTTGGGGGGGGTTCCTTTAAAGG